TGGTTTTCAAATAAAAAAGATTTTCATACAAAAATTAATCCCAAATTTGATTCTCATAAATTATGTACCTTACATTTCTAGCACAAAAGGAAAAAAAAAAATATAATATAATAAAAATAAGGGTATAATTGTAAATTTAATTTTCAAATAATATATTAAATCTAACTTTTCAAAATAAACGAGACTAATTAAAATCCTTGCAACTAAATAGATCACCATTCCTCAAAATGAGATTTATAAGTAAATTTTTTTTTTTTTTTGGTCAAATAGATTGAATTGTAATTTCCCCAAAACGTTAAGTGATCATCATAAATGATCCACTTACCCGAAATTAACTTGGACCAATAAAGACTCTTATTCAACCTAAACCAGGAGCTTCTTTAATTCAATCCATTTAAATCTGATTTTAAACTCGTCCAAATTAATTAACGGGGTTAAATGATTTGTATATTCAAAACTCATTAAAATTGAGTTTAAATGTACGGTAATGTTATATGCATCAATTACTGTATTAATTAGCATACCAACACTAATTATGATATTATTATTGATTTCACTCATTATATAAATTATAAATACTAAAAACCTTTTAAATTATGTCAAGTCATCAATTGATACAATAACTACTACACGTGCATATAGCCTTATTCTTAAATGTATTAGACATGAGTACCCATTTAAATATGTACATCCTCCACCTCCACCTTGTACCACCACCACTCCACCAAATCTCAAGTAAAAGTCATAATATTTAGATAATCCTGAAATTGGGTCTTCATGGAGATATAAGTCCAGATTCATTCATGTACATGATGATAATATAATGGGGATATAATCTTTATTCTTTAATGTTCTTGTCTGAATTCATTATGGTAGCATGATGCTTTTTACTATACTAATCTGCCTAAAAATGTCAATTTACTTAGCTAATTATGTCGACAATAATATAGTCAAAGTAGACATATATAATCCAAATGTATACTATAATATGATTACATCACTATAAAACAATTACAATAATGTTTCTCATTTTTAATTGAAAAACTCAACGCAGATTACTGTGATTTGAAATAAAATGTTTTGAAAGATTATGTTGCAACATATTCATACTTGAGTCCTCAGGGACATCTGATAAAATTGTAACCAAGATATTGATACTTTAATGATTGATGATGAAGTAGACGTGTTGCATAAGACAATATTGTATTTTTTCTTCTTTTTTTTTTGGCATTTTTTTCCTTAGAACAATTTTGATATTTTTTTTTATTAAGAGGCAAATATTAATAAGTGTTCTATTGTCACGACCCAAATCCGCTCCTATAGGTTTAGCGTCGTAACCGACCAGTAATTTTAAGATTACCAAAAGCCTTTGAGACAGATTCAAAATAAAAGAGACTAGCGGAAGCAAATAACAAATATACAATGTTCATAAAGCTATGCAGACTTCTATGGAACAAAAATTTTGAATTTTATATGCATATATAATCGCATCAATCTTACGTCATCCACAACAGATAAAACAAAAGAGACTTAGCCTTAATACAAATAAACAAAACCTTAGAGATTAAAATAAAAAAATAAAAACTTAAAGACTTGTTCACTTGACATAACACTTGAACACAAGATTTTTGGGAACCTCCACGTGAGGCACATTGGTTGCCTTGACAAAAACAAATCCAGATCGGAAGTCTCAAGCCTGGTCATGCGCCTGATCACCTACATACATACTATAAATAATGAGTTAGATCCCAGTGAATAAGAGTAAAGATTTTATGAATGATGTTCATAATAGATTTAGAAATCAGAATTCAGATCATAAACATATTTATATACGTATTCAGATTTTGCAATCAATCATATGTGGTATGTCCATTAGCTAACAAATTGAATTGGTCATAAAGACCCATATTCACATAAGATGGTCATTAAGACCCACATGCAGATTAGATAGTTCACATAAAACCGTGATACCAGGTAACAGATAACAGATATTAAATATAGATGCTAAGGATGCCAGAATACATTTAAGAGATTGGACAATCATTCATTCTAATCAGAAAATAGCATTTCAAAAAATAGATCATATCATGTCAGTCAGAAAATACTTATAGTTGAACATATCTTTACAAGGTTGTTAATCATGGATAGCTCCAGAAGCAGAACAGATAACTTAGATAGATCAGACAGACGGTTGCGCGTGACCTACACAGACACATAACATATACACATTGAAACACACGTTCCGTAGATACTTAACTTATTACGTTTCTTTCCTTAGTGTGTTTCTAATTCATATCCTCATTATTATTGCTTAAACCATCGCTTAAGAATGCTTAGGATGAGATGAAGATGCAATTATGCACTTTGAAACACTTACAAAATTTTTAAAAAAATGACAGTTCGCTCGAACGAAGCTTTGGTCGCTCAAGCAGACCTCTTCGGTCTGCAAAAGTATTAGATGCTCTAAATTTATGCTCGAGCCAACTTCTTGGTTGCTCGAGCCAAGACTGAAAATAAAAGGTGGTTGCTCGAGCAGTCTTTTGATTGCTAGAGCCAACTGTCAAATTCTGCAAAAGTACAAAGAGCTCGAAATTTATGCTCGAGCGACCAAACGTCGCTCGAGCAATGCAACAAAATTCTGGAATTTCCAAATTTTAACTTAACTCTAAAACACAAATTCAGAGCATCAAAACTCATACTTTTGGGCTAAAACTCAAGAAAACACTTCGAAACTTATATAAAACTATAAAATGAAGATCAATTCACAAAATCAATGCCCAAAAGCATATCAATTCTTCAAAACCAAGTTGAAACTTTATGTATATTCACATGCATGTATTGATATGAATTCAAAACTTCCAAAACATGTACAAATGTAGTGTTTAAGTGTGGAATCATAGTGAGCTCTCATGATTTGACAAAAATAAACACTTGCATGTAAGAATTGAGTGAAAACTAAACTCAAATCCATGAACTATGTATGCATGCAAAGATTGAACTCAATTCTACATTCTAAGCTCAATTCCTATGCTTAATCTTCTATTTCACTTGATTTATTTCTCTAAACAACTCGTGTTTATAATTTAAAGGTTGAATTCTTACCTTAAATTTTGAGTTTTGGAGGCGTAGAGGTTAAATCTCTCAAATCTTTCCAATTCACTAATTAAGAGTGTATATGGAATGTTCTTGATGCAATATTACCCTTATATAGGCTTATTTAGCATTTACTAATTGAGAGTGATTAAAACTGATCAATCTAGCTTAATTTAATCAATTTATTTTAATTATTTGATTCCGAATTAGTTTCTAATTAAACTTACCATAATATTCTAAAAATCCCGCATAACACATTGACTCAGTCAATTTCATGTTCGGATACCGATAAAACTTTCAATTTTTATATCAAAACAGAGTTCTAAACAGATAATCCTACAACATACAAATAAAACTTAAAATGCACAATTAATACATAAGTCCGCTTAACCACTTAATTAACATTCTTAAATACAGATTAACGGTTAATTACGGATCAATGTTGTTACAACCATGGCACTTGCACTTGTTAATACTGGTAATATGAGAAAAAAAATGTCTTGAAAAAATGTAAAAAGATTATAAAACATTTTGAAATTCATAAAAACTGTATTAAATTTAGTGTTAAGGTTAGGATCTATACATTTATGTTTTTTTTCTTTTCTTATGCCTTAAGGGCACTTGTTAGCAAGATGTTTATTAATATTTGATATTTATTATAAAACTTTATTAATTACAATATTAATGAAAATTAAATATAACATATAATTAATCCAAAAGAACTCCTGAAAGTAGTAGGGGATAGAGAACCAAACAAACATAATAAATACGAGTCATGCAAATGAAAAATTTTAAATTATTGACTTTTTAACTGAGGCACAAGAGTTCTAGCCAACAAGCTAGGTTGATTTTTCATACAACTTTAAATAACTCAATATTGATTCACACTCAATAATATCTATGCCATCTAGATTAACAATTAGTTGAAGAACACAATGACATTTTGCTCACCTTATTGTCTTATTGTTGGTTCAAAAAATTAGAATTATATTTGGAACTTAGATTTATTAAGAGAAAGAAAAAGGAAAGGAAATTTAAATTACTTATACATATATTCATTTTTAATATGTAACCAAACGAATTTTTTAACAAAAATCTATTTTATTTTTCTAGTCCATCCAAATATTGTGACCAAAAATAATTTTTTTAGTATATGTGCGGCCCCATCCTAGGAGAGAAGGGAAAGTCTTGCTTATGACAAAATTTAAACTGTAGATCTCTTATTGGCACAATGGGGTGAGGGGCTATTTTAACCTCATAGAAGAAAATAGCCCAAAAGCCTCTACTGTGGCATGATAGATCACATGGTTCACAACACTATCAACACAGGTGAGTAAATGTCCATTTGGCCCTTTGAATTGTGCATGCCACGGCAACAAATGCTTCTTTATTGGAAAAAGGATATTTTATTCTTAGGGACAGTTTTGTCATTTTACATCCCAAAATCGTTTCAAATATATTTTTTAATACATCAATTAAACAAAAAATCCAACCCATTTTTTCAAACACAAAACTAAAATAGTCGAATAGCCAAAACGTTAAAAAAATAATCACTTCTCAAATGAGGCCATTAAACAATAAAAATTCTGATCAATTAAGAGTTCGTTTGTTAGTTACTAAAAATCAATAGAAAATACTAATCGGATAGAATTTTTACACAAAATGTTGTACCAAATGGTATGACAGTATTATTTTTGCAAACGGGCTTTTTGTTTTAAAGTGACATGCTCAAAATCTTGCCAAGTCATTATATACAAGTTATAAACATTAATTTTTTATTTGTATTTCACCGCTCAAAACTAATTATTGTCCAATTTTAAATCAGTTTTGGGCCATTAATATAGCCCATTAAATTGTACAGCCCAGCCCAATTGCTCCCCCAAATCTTCCTTATCACCTTCATTCAAACCAACCAAACTCACTCTCTCTCTCTCTCTCTCTCTCTCTCTCTAGAATGGCTTTTGGAGCTTCACTCTCCAATGCAACATCTCTGCAACTCTCATCTTCTCTCTATGGAGAAGCCTTGTTGTCGTCCTCATCTTCTACTCTTCTCATGGGTTCGCCATTGAATTTGTCATCTTCTTCTCTCTCTGGTATCCTCACTCTTAACTCTTTCCTTAACATTTCTTTGTCTGTTTTTCGCTACGCGTTCTTTTCTAATTGTGTAACAATTTAAACTCATAAATTAGCATATTAATCAAAGTATGTTAGTTACACTATGCAATCACTTTGTTAATTTGAATTATGGGTTTAATTTTGTTTGCTGTGTTGTGTTCTACTTAAGGACAAAAATCCCATCTTCCAAAGCGTTTTGTTCTTATATCGAAGAGGGTTTCGGGTTTGGAGGAGGCCATGAGAATTAGGAGGTATATTTTAGCTCTAAATCTTTGTATGCATTCTTCTTTGTGGTAACATTCAAACATGGGTTACAATTCGCTTTCTGATGAATTTGGACAATGAAAATAATTATGTCTATAAATGGACCATGCCTTTGTATTCAGTACTACCTTATTTTTGGAGTCTATTTGGGGGGTATGGACACAATTCGGCAACTTTAGGTTACAGCTAGATGGGGAAAGTGAAAGATTCAATTATGAACTGAATATGGTTATTGAAATTGTAGGTATATGAATACCTTTGACTTGTTATATGACCACTAAGTAGTGGACCCCAGGGACGAGGCTCGCCTTGGCAGGTGCTCAACCAAGTACTTTACACTAATTCATGAGCCTTTCCTCGCCTAAGTAACCATGGATTACCCTTGCTTCGCAACCGTATCCCTATCTCTGTGAGTAGATATGGCGCTCCATGAGCACATTCCTGCCCTGCTAGCAGCCCCTGCTCACCATGGTGCAGTAACTCGCTCGGTAGCACCACAGTTACGGAGCACCACAACTCACCTAAAGTTTCTGCTCACCATGGTCCTTCATGCCTCATTCTCATAAGAAACGCTCGGTAATGACCACCTCCACTTAGTCACTCCTGCTTAGCTGCAACATAGTTTGGCCCTTGACTCGCCTATGTCTCCCTTATGCACTTACTCCCTATGTTGGGATCACTCTGTTCTAGGGCTGCAAATGAACAGAGTTGTTCATGAACATGTTTGAGTTCGACTCGATAAGGGTTCGTTTGAATTCGGCTCGTTTGAATTCAGTTCGTTAAATTTTTATTACATCGAGCTCGAGCTCGAATTCAAGCTTGTTAAAATCTTAATAAGCAAGTCCAAAGATACTAAAGCTCGGCTCATTAGTTTGACTCATTAGAGGGCTCATTGAAAATTTATTTAAATAATAGAATAAATATATTATTTATATATTAACTTATTAAGTAATGTAAAAATATATATAAAAAATAGGATAAATATGTTATTTCTATATTTAAATAACATAAATATAAATAATAGTTAAATTTATTTATATGCAAATAATAGCTAACTATAGATAACATATATAATATTAGTGGTAGTTATTATTATTTTGATAAGATATTGACTTTTTTTTTAGTATGTTTATATATATTGTACATATAATTGTATAATCAAAATTTCAATTATAACTTTAGTCTCATTTGCAAGCATGAATTTATAATTTCCTTGGCTCGTTATGGCTCGTAAACAAGCTCGAACAGTGAAGCCTAAGCAAACTCGGCTCGAGCTCAGTTTGTTAAATTTTTATTGAGTTTGGGCTCGAGTTCGTTAAAATCTTAATAAACAAGTCCAAACATAGTAAAGCTCGACTTGGCTCAACTCAACTCGTTTGCAGCCCTACTTTACTCACTACTATCACGATCATCACTTGGAAGCCTAGGTTGAGAGCAAGGCCTAGGCATCCACCATTTAGGATCATTGGAGGACTGTGGATTAGAGACTAGATCACAGGTTTGTTAAGGCTGCCTAGTCTCCCAAAGAAAGACAACTCCTCCTTGACCAATCTTAGAGAGAAGGGGCACTGATCTTGTACTCAATCTTGCTGCATGCTGTGAAACATCTCCTGATATGTCATACCTACCTCTACAGCTCCTATGATGCAACCTTCTCGAGGTCTAAATCATTGGACTTAGTAGTAGCGTTGATATCATCACTTTGTTGATTTTAGGAGAGCTCAGCACCTGTCCATAGGTGGCTTGGGCTCCGATACTTCTAGAGCCTATAAAAGGGTATCATGCATGTAGCCAAACAACGAAACAACACTGACATAGCTTGTACACAACAACCCCATAACTAAATGTTCAGGGTCCTTCATTGGCACATTCTCTATTTTTAAGGCTGCCTTGATCTTCACCTTCTATCCTTGACCATCTTAGTGCCTACCATGATTCCTCACAACCGACCACCTCTAAGATTTATTGCACACAATAATTATTAGAGAAATGAAAATTGCTAATGTACTACTTATTTGAAGGTGCAAAGGGGAGAATTTGGGTGGAATTATTTGCAAAATATATGGATTTGTTGTAGAAAGTAGAGTCACAGCCATGAATGACAGTGACGAACAGCAAAAAAGAAAGAGGTTATATGTGAAACATTAAAAAATGGTTCACTTACCATGCAGATGAAATTAGTTTAATTGGTGTGTGCAAAATTGTGGTATGGAATTTTTCAAGCAATATCCAAAAATCCTCACCCAAGTGCTTCAATTAGTCATCCTTGACCAATGACGTTGGTCTTTCATGACATCATATGTTGTGTTGAAATTTAATATCCTGTGTGTTGAGGAGCTAAAATTGGTCCTTTCATGCCGAGTGGTTGAGAATCCCAATTATCTCTACCTCATTTTTCTTTTCTTTTTAAATTCATCTTGTTTTAAAAGCCTTAAATACTCGATGGTTTGGCATGTGGTACAAATGATTTTGTGCCCTTCATGTTGATGTTATCACCTTCCATATATATGATTAATTAATAAATAAATAAAAAGAAAATGCTAAGTTGAAGGATTTAGAGTTTTGGAATATGGCATTTTTTTGTGCATGATATGGTGAAATGAAGCCTTCAAATTTCATTGCATATCATTTGGCATTTGCCACTGTTAGTTTCTTCTATTGTTTTATGACAATTGAGTGATTTGTAAGTTACCTTCTTGATTTTTTTTTCTTCCCTAATTGATATATAGAGAACGTGAACTTCGAACTTCAACAACTGCTAAAAGAAGGCCACCTTTGAGGCGTGGAAAGGTTTCCCAACGTCTTCCGGTACCTGATCACATACCAAAGCCTCCTTATTTAGGTTCTAATTTGTTACCAGAACTCTCCAGTGAACATCAAATTCATGATTCCGAAGGCATTGCTCGTATGAGGGCTGCATGTGAGCTTGCTGCTCGGGTCTTGGATTATGCAGGAACATTGATTAGGGTGAGAAATTACAATGTCTTTTTATTTTACTATTGGATATGTTATCTTGCATTCTAATACCATTAGGTTAAATATTTATGTTTATGCACTTCATATTAGTATCTGCAACTATTGTTCCTACATATTGTCAGTAAGGATACTTTTGTCTTCAGATCTGCTCATGGATTTTGAAATTCCCTAAATCCCTGGGAATTATTTCCACTTTTCAAAAGCAACAGAAATATATCTAGAGGTCTTAGTTAAAAAACCTTTTATCCTTGCCTAATAAGCTACTGATAGTTGATTATTGACCTTTATTTATCACGGTAATGATTTAGGAGAATCAGTGTAGTTTGGTTTGTTGTTCTTAAGTTGGGATTAAATTTGAAGCTTCTCTATTGGTGCCAGTAGTTTGTTGTCTATAAATAGAGTTCCTTTGATTTAAGCTTGCTATTAAAGCATACGACATAGGACTTTGTCACATGTGTCCCATACTTTGAGCATGGACCTTTGGTTATTTGAGGATGAGACGTTTAGAGCACTGTTTGTTGCTTGGTTTTTGACCTTCAATGATCAATCTTTATATCATGGTTCAATCAATTGGTAGTTTGGTGAATTTTGTTGCAACTTGCAACAGCCTCTTTTCCTATGATTTTATGATGGATTCATGGTTTCAAACCTTGATGTCATGCTTTTTTCATTCCCATATCAAGTGACGAGCTTGGAATTATTGCAAGTGGCCAAATAATTGACTTATAATCTAAATTTTTGAAGGCCATGATATATAACATTTTTATGCAATAGCTTCATTTTCCCATTACCTTCAAACCAGATATCTGGTTGATTACAATGCTTTGAAGACAAATCTAGATCAGGTGGGCTGTAGAATAGCACCTTGCAATGAAAAATGGACATGTGATCTTAATTTATCTTAGAACGGTTGGTTTTACTGGTTGCAATGTTGGCTTCGCTAAAAGGAATGCTTAGTGCATACAATCATTTGTTTCATGTGAACCTGTGTATAACAGTCTGATCTTGTTTCAACTAGTTATTCTATCAAATGTTTTTGGGGCTTGCCATGTTATTTGTGTGAGAATACTATGTAAATATGTTAGATTGTGTGAATATTAGATTGATTGTAGAATATAGGTTTATTCTTATTTCCTTTTTTAGATTAGGTCTATATAACTTGGTTGTACTCTTTGTATTATTGATAATGGAATATACGAATTCTCTTAGAAAACTTACATGGTATTAAAGCCTGGTTCAAAACCTTAGGTTCAACATCAACCCATCTGGTTTGATTTGTCGACCCGTCTGGTTCGATCAATTCCTCTCTCTTGAACTCAACTGGTTTGTCTGGTTCAATAGAAGCTTTCTCTCTCATCTGATTCGTTTGTTCGCGATCAATATCTCTCCCTTTGTTTGGTTCAGTTTTCGATTCGTGAGGTCTCTGTGTGGCTTCGGTTCATACTCGCGACATCTCTCTCTCTCTCTCTCTCTCTCTCTTGCTGACTTTGGTTGGTGATCTCTTTGACTCTCTCTTTGGTCCTCTGGTCTGAAGTAGCAAAGGTCCTCTGACTGGTGGTTTGAAGTCGCAACATTTTAGTCTTGGTTTGATTGCGATTGCGAAGAGTCTCTCGTCTCCGTTCGTTGATCTCTCACTTTGGTTCGATTCTTTCTCACTTGCGAGGTTCACTGATCTCTCTCATCGTAGCCTCATCGTGAGGTCTACTATCACTAGTTATTTGTTACGTGGCTGGTTCTGTGATTCTACTTCTTGGGTATTTACACTTAAAACCCTCTCAAGTTTATTACACTAGAGCCCCTCAGTTTCCTATTTAGTATACTCTGACCCCTGGCTTGGTTATTGTGGTCTATTTTGGGTTTATTACATTTTGAACCCCCCAACTTTCTAATTATTACCCTTTAATCTCTGGTTTGGCTATTTTGTTTTATTTTGGGTTTGTTACACTTAGACCTTAGCTTTATAGTTATTACAATGTCTCTAACTTTTGATGAGTGTGCTTTCTACTATCAGAGAGACCATTGGAAGTATCACTGTCCCAAGAAGGGACATTTGCCTGCCTTATCTCCTCAACAATCTCAGACCCAATTCCGAGCTCCTCCTCCAAGCATGTTTGCGTGCCCCTAAATTTCTTGTTTAGTATACTCTGACCCCTGGCTTGGTTATTGTGGTCTATTTTGGGTTTATTACATTTTGAACCCCTTAGCTTTCTAGTTATTAGCCTTTGATCTCTGGTTTGCCTATTTTGTTTTATTTTGGGTTTGTTACACATAGGCCTTAGCTTTTTGGTTATTACGATGTCTCTAGCTTTTGATAAGTGTGCCTTCTGCCATCAGAGAGGTCATTGGAAGTATCACTATCCCAAGAAGGGACGTTTGCCTGCTTTATCTACTCAACAGTCTCAGACCCAATTCCCAGCTCCTCTTCCGTGCACTTTTCGGCCTCTCACCAGTTCTATTGCATCTGCTTCGGCTGCTGATCTTGACTTGGCTTCCTTGAGTGCTCAGATTAGTCAGCTTTAACATATAATGTCTGCTTCCCAGCCATCCTTATCTGCTTCCATTGTTTCCGCTCTTCATTCAGATTTGTTTGGTTCTTCTTCAAGTATCTTTTCGTCTGTTTAGCCTTTTGACTTTGGTGCCTCATCATATGACTTCTTATCTCTCCTTACTTCAGAATTGTACTCCCCCTCCCTTTCCTATTACCATTAATGCTGCTAATGAGTCTAATATGTCTGTTATATTTGTTGGATCTGTCTTACCGTCTGTTATGTCTGCTGTGTCTATTCCATCTGTCCTTTATGTTCCTCAGTTATCTGTCAGTTTATTATCTATCAGTCAACTTGATGCTTCCGACTTTGATGTTATCTTTTCTTCTTTTATCTGTTTTGTGCAGGATCAAATGTCCAAGCAACAGATTAGGATTGGCCGTAGAGTGGGAGACCTTTATATAGTTGAGAGCTTGCATTTGCCTATGACTACCACTCCGACTGCTTTTTTTTTCTTTTCAGCTAGATTCTCTGTCAAGTCCTTTCTATTTGTGACATTCTAGATTAGAGCATTTGTTTGCTAACTGTTTACGGCCTTTGGCTCAGTCAGGTATATTGGGTAAATTCCCTCCTAATCAAATTACCGAGTGTCGGGGATGTAAACTTGCTAAAATGACAGCCTTATCTTTTCGTAAAAGTACTTCTATATCTGATACACTGTTTTCTTTAGTTCATATTGATGTCTGGGGTCCTTCCCCTGTTCTCACCAAAGGGAGTTCTGCATAATATGTGCCATTTATTGATAATTGCACCCGTTACACTCAGGTTTATCTTATGACACATAAGTCTGATTTCTACCAGATATACCGTACTTTTTAGTTTATGGTCACTACGCAGTTTGGGTCTATTATTTAAGTGTACAGTCTGACGTAGGTGGTGAGTATTTTAAAATTGAGTTCTGTGCGTATTTAACCAATTTAGGTACCATTCACTAAACTTCTTGTATTAATCACTTGCCCAAAATGGTTACGCTAAGCGTAAACACCCTCATTTCCTTGAGACAGCTAGGTCTCTCCTTCTCTCTGTCTCTATTCCAACCCCTTTTTGGGGTGAAGCAGTTCTTATTGCTGTTTTTCTTCTAAACTATATGCCTGCTCCTCTACTCTCTGGTCGTTCTTCTTATGAGGCTCTGTTCTCCCAACTTCCCAATTATTTCCTCTTGTATGTTTGGGTTTGCTTGTTTTGTTCTTCTTCCTCGTAAAGATAAGACTAAACTTAGTGCCCGATCTGTTCCGTGTATCTTTTGGGGCTACAGTCTTAACCAAAAAGGTTATCGCTGTTATGACCCTGTTTCTCGTCGCCTTTATGGCTCCCGCTATGTTGTCTTTCTCGAACGTCTGTCTTACTTTCAACTTCCTCCTATCACTGCTTCGGTTCCAAAGAGGATTTGGTTCACATTGATCCATTCCTTTTAAGGTCCCTCCAGATGAGTGCATCTCTACTGTTTCCCATGATCTTGTTCTTTTTACCACCCCTCATGCTGAGTCCCTGTCCACTGACCCCCATGACTCTGTTCTCTCCTCCTTCTCCTTCTCCTTCTCCTTATTCTTCTCCTCCTCCGGCTCTATTTCTGTTTCCTCCTCCATTGTTAGTCTATTTCCGTCGCAAGGCTCTCCCTCCACCGCCCTGCCTCTAACGACTCTGATCTTGCTAACCATAAGTATTCCCTTCGCATCCGTGAACAGGTAGTCAAACTTGGTTTTGTTAAAACACGTTTTTCTCCTTCATACTACACCTTTTTGTTTGCTATTCACTCTTTTTCAAAATTCCAATCTTATAAGGAGGCTTGTCAAGATCCTAATTGGGTTTGAGTTATGGAGAATGAGTTGTTTGCTTTGTAGAAGAGTACTACTTGGGAGTTGATTCCGTTGCCTACTGGCAAAAATCTAGTTGGTTGCAAATGGGTCTAATAAAGTTAAGACTCACTTTGATGGTTCTCTTGAGCGTTACCAAGTTCGCCTGATTGCCAAAGGTTTCTGCTATTCATATGGTTGCCAAAGGTTTCTGGTAGCCAAAGGTTTCTACCAAGCTCACTCTGATGGTTCTCTTGAGCGCTACAAAGCTCGTATGGTATTGATTATGAGGAGACATTTGCCCCTATTGTCAAGATAACTACTATCTGTATTTTGATCTCTATTGCTGCTGTTCGTCATTGGCTTCTCTATCAGATGTATGTTAAGAATGTTTTTCTTAATGGCTATCTCACTAAGGAGGTTTACATGCATCCTCCCCCTGACCTTCCTCATTCCTCTGGATAGGTTTGTCATCTTTAGCTTGCTCTGTATGGTTTGAAGCAATTCCTTTGTGCTTGGTATATCGCTCTCAAGCCGCTGTTACTCAGCTTGAGTTTCATCCTTATGTCCAAGATTCTGTTTTGTTTCTTCTTCACAGCTCTGCTGGTTTTGTTGCCCTGTTACTATATGTGGATGATATGATCATCACTGGCTTAGATTCTTCTGTTATCTCTAAGGTCAAGCAGCATCTCTTCTGCACCTTCAAAATGAAAGATCTGAGCCTATTGAGGTATTTTCTTGGTATTGAGGTAGTTTCTTCTCCTGAAGGCTCCTTTCTATCTCAGGCTAAGTATGTAAATGAGGTAATTCACCGTGCCGGTCTTACTGACACTAAGATTTCTGATACCCCCATTGAGCTTAATGTGAAACTTTGTTAGAATTTACCTACACCTACCACCACCTACTACCACACCTACTACCCAAACCCTCTCCTATATAATGAGCTACTCTGATTTGTAATAGAACACATCAATACAACAAACATATCAATCAATAATACATCAGTTTATTTTTTTCAAACTTAATACTACTGATGGTGTTCATCTGGATGGACTTACTTTATATCGAGAGCTTATAGATTACTTAGTCTATCTGACTGTCACTCGCCTTGATTTTGCCTATACTGTTCATGTGGTTAGCCAATTCGTTTCTACTTCTTGTTCTACACATTAAGGTTGTTTTGGTTTGCATTTTTCGCTATCTCCGGGATACTATATTTCAGGTCTTACTGTTGTCCTCCACTTCCTCTTTAGATTTGGTGGCCTATGCTAATTTTGATTGGGCTAGTGATGTTATTGATCGCAAGTCTACTTATGACTTCTGCATGTTTGTTGGTGATTCTTTGATTTCTTGGAAGAGTAAGAAGCAGACCGTTGTTGTACGTTCCACTGTCGAGGTTGAGTATCGTACTTCTTGCTTCATTGTCTTTTATTTGATTTGGGTGTACCTCAGTCTTCTCCGACCTCTCTTTATTGTGACAATTGCAGTGCTATTCAGATTGTCCATAACACTGTCTTCCATGAGTGGACAAAGCATATTGAGATTGATTGTCATTTTGTTCATCAACATCTGCAGTCTGGCTCCATCTCGCTTCCTTTCATCTCTTCGGCACTTCAACTTTACCAAAACTCACACCACTGCTCGTTTTCAATTTCTTTTTGGCAAACTCTCAGTGTTTTCTGCTAAAATACCTTGAGTTTGAGTGGGGGCGTGCGAATATTATGTAAATATATTAGATTGTGTGAATATGAGATTGATTGTAGAATATAGGTTTATTCTTATTTCCTTTTTTGGATTAGGTTTATATAACTTGGTTGTACTCTTTGTATTATTGATAATGGAATATACGAATTCTCTCAGAAAACTTACAATTTGAAGTGTCTTTTTTTCAGTTTTCATTTGTAAGATGTATAGGAATTGATTATTTAACTTCCCTTCTTTCGGTCTTTATGAGTAAGTTTTGGGTTTTTACGTTTCTTTTTCTGCCACTCTTTTCATTCATGAAATGAAAGTAGAATACTCTTTCTATCTCCTATCAAGTCTTTGTTTGCCACTTGATATTTGCAATTATATTATATGACATGTTATTTACATGAGTTTATATCCTTATCAGCCATCAGTAACAACAAATGAAATTGATAAAGCTGTGCACCAAATGATTATTGATGCCGGTGCTTATCCTTCACCTCTTGGCTACGGGGGTTTTCCAAAGAGTGTGTGCACATCAGTTAATGAGTGCATGTGTCACGGAATACCTGATTCTCGCCAACTACAGGTTGTGTGCTTTCACCGCCTAGAGCTGCTCATTTGAAACACAAACTATTCCTAACAAATGATCATCTTCCATGCAGGATGGTGACATAATTAACATTGATGTGACGGTCTACTTAAATGTACGTTGCTAAGTTGGTCATTTGTTTCTGCCAGTTCAATTCATTCATGTACAAAATGTATTGCCTGTTTTACTGACTACATTTCCAAATATTGGTAGATCACATTTTATACTTTCTCTTATCTTGTAGTCCTGCGTATTCATATATTTCTGTTTCTTCACATATGTTGCATTCTTGTGTTGTAATTTCTGACCCACTTATCTCACTTGAAGTTTAAATATCTTACAGTGCCATGTATTTTGAGATGGTAGATTTCTGATGAGTCATATTCCACAATGTGCATTTATCGGAAAACATCCACAGGATTGATAGAGTTCTGATGGGCTAAAGGACCAAACTTTTATGGTTTCTATGAATATTATGCCTTGGGGATCTTGTATCTTAGGGGGCACCCCAGGGGTTTAGGCCATTCCCCCAATAGAGTGACTCAATTTTGAGTCTCCTTAACTTACCTAATAAAAAACAAATAAATAAACCCTGTGGATCTCACAGGTTCAATGCATTATTGTTACTTGTTATTGTCTAAAATATGAGCCAAACATTTTGATCCAAACACCCCGGTGCCAATCAAATATATATATATATATATATATGAGCAAAACATCCATGTAGAGTGGATCTGCACAATGAACAGGAAAGGCCCAGCTTCAAGTTTGTATTGACATGGATTCAGGTGTGTTGGGAAGCCATATGCATCTTAAAGCTAAATTAGAAGTTTGGAGAGAAGCTCTAGAATCAAGAGTGTTTAAGATAAGCAGGACTTAAATGAACTTGTGGTTAGTATTGAAGACCAAGAAATACTAAAGAGGACTTACGTATAGGTCCTAATAGGTGGATTTATTGTCCAATAGATCGTATGATAATTAATGACATTTTTTATTAAATGTAAAATTTAATGTATAAAGAGAAATAGAGAGAGAATAAATTGTATGTATTATTGATTGATTTATATTCTGTATTACAAGATTGATATATTCTGTATATTACAACTCCTATATATAGAGGAGAAGATGGTAGTGGAGTGTGTGATAGTGGAGGTGGTAGGTGTGGAGAAAAATAGTGGAGGTAGTAGGTGAGTGGTATAGTGGAGGTGGTAGGTGTGGAGAAAGATAGTGGAGGTAGTAGGTGAGTGGTAAATTCTAACATTAAACACTATTAAAAAACGTCACTAATTGTTATTTTTAGCAACATTTTAAAATTTGTCACAAAAAACGTCATTAATTATAAGTTTTAGGGACAGTTTAAAAAAAAAGTTACTAATTTTTAATTTTTAGTGACAGTTTAAAAAATTCGTCATAGAAGACGTCACTTATTGTTAGTTTTATCGACAATATATAAAAATCGTAACAAAAAAAGTCACTAATTGTCAATTTTTAACTACATATGCAAAAAATCATCACAAAAAATTATTTTAGCGACAATTTTACTGTGACTTATTTTTAATAGGATTTTATGGGAATTAAGTCCAACTATTAGGACCTCTTGGCAATTTATCCAAATATAAGACTAAAGAGTGAAATTTTTTGGCACCTAGGCTTGATTATACATGCAGAGAGGGAGATTCGTATTGATGTTATTTATAGAATTAAGGTAGGATGGACTAATTGTTTTTGGTCTCTTTTATGATTGACGCATACCCATGTGATTAAATGAAAATTCTAAAGGTTTATGTTACCAAATGTTGGAAATTAAGAAAGATGTCGATAAATAACTGAAGCCGAGATGAAGATATTGAGGTGGATGTGTAGAACTTGGAGAGATAAGGTTAGAAATGAATAAATATGTAAGATGTTAGAGGTAGCACTTATTGATGTTAAAATTGGGGAAAATCGTTTAAGGTGGTTTGGTCATGGATGACGAAGACTGATAAGTTTAGGACGAGTCACACCATCCACATTAAGGGCAATGCTAGGATACAGGAGAGATTGAAATTAACTTGAGTTGATATAAAAAGCAAAGACATGTTAGCTTGCAGTTGACTGAGATTATAGCCCTTCATCGAACAGACTGGTTAAACAAGATAAATTTAGTTGACATGAGAATTGGGAAAAGGATTTGTTGAGTTGAGTTGATGTTAAAATTCAATGTATAAAGAGAAATAGAGAAATTGATGTATTATTGATTGATGATATGTTATAGTGTGTTGAGCTCTCTCCTTTATAGAGGAGAGGGAGAACAATTACAAACCGAAAGTAGAAGCACAAACCAAACAACATTATTAAAGGTACATTATTAAAGCATACTAATTATTATACTAACCTAATTATTAAAGCAACATTTTACATATTATATTCTAACAGCCCCCCTCAAACTCAAGGAGGATAGGAACCAACCAACTTGAGTTTGGAGAGAGTAACAAAACAGAAAAAATAAAATAAAATAAAAATGGATAGGAGACACTGTATGGTCGTGTCAGACCGTTGTAGAAGACTGTATGGTTATGGCAGACCGATGTAGAAGACACGGAATCTATGTCGGGACAGTTTACAGAGTCTTGTCGGACCCATGAAGGATCTAACCGGAATCAATGTCGGGACAGTTTAGGGGGTCATGTCAGACCGTTGGAAAAGCTAACCGGAATCAAATGTCGGGACAGTTTATGAGGTCATGTCGGACCGATGAAGGAGCTAACCGGAATCAATGTCGGGACAGTTTACAGAGTCTTGTCGGACCCATGAAGGAGCTAACCGGAATCAATGTCGGGACAGTTTACAGAGTCTTGTCGGACCCCTTAAAAAGTCGCACCCTCAAAAGGTGCACCCAATTTTTCAAAAGGTGTGCCATCAAAAGGCGTGCCCAATTCATAAAAAGGCGTGCCATCAAAAGGCGCGCCATCAAAAGGCGCGCCCATGTTGTCGTCGAGCGCTGAGCGGCGCATGATGCGTGTGTCTGCCTTGGCTATTTAACCAAAGTTGAGGCAGAGGCTATGCAAACAAAAAAAAATTGCTAAAAACCTCTGAAAAACTCTTCGTGTTCTGAGAGAGATATTCGTTTTCTGAGAGATACTCTGTAACACTCTGTTGCCCAGAAAATGGCCTCTTCTTCCCGTAGTCTGCTTACTGTCTTTCCCGACCTCAACGAGTCAACAAGAGAGATAACTGGTGCGGTGGCCCGTGAACCTCAACCAAACACCTCTGGTTTTGCTCCGTTGAACTTTCCGATGCGGTCGGTGGAGCAAAAAATGGCAGTGCAAACGGATATTGAGGCCAATCAGTATACACTGAAGTCATGTGTGAAGACGATGACGGCAGTCACAAACTTGTCGCATCGGCTTCAGAGTAGGACAAATGAGGTGCAGCAGTTAAACGCCCAACTGGCTCTGCTCCAGCGCATGTATAAGGATGCGCGAGCAGAGATAAGTGTGCTAAAGGCGGAAAATAAGGAGCTGAAGCGGAAGGCCACCGTGATATGCTCTGGTAGTAACCGTCAAAGTGGCTGATAACTGTCGAAGTAGATGATAACCGTCGAAATAACCTCCATGATCATGGGACATGGTTTCAAGTGTTTTAAGAAGAGACCGGCGGCAGAGTAGAGAAGAAAAATCCCGCCTGTGGATGTGGTTGTTTTGTTTGTTTTGTTTTTGTTTTTTTTTTTTTGGTGTAAAATTCGGATCGGGGTTGATCCCCGGCATGAAGAAATGACAAGTTTGTGGAATGTTTTTGTTTTGGTGTTATTTTGTGTTGTTTTGTTGAAGAATAAAAATAAAATAAAAAATAGATAAAAAAAAATTATTTTTGGATGAGTTATTTGAGAAAGATCGGTGTGAGGTGGATGATGGATGTTTCAAAATAAAGTTGGGGGTAGTGACCCTGCAAAAGATATATTATTATAGAGTGGGTATTTGAAAGAGATTAAAAGTGTTGTGGAGAAAATAAATAAAAAGAAGTGATTTTGAAATCAAACGGAGGAGAGAGAGGGTGTTATAGTATAATAAAAAAAAAAGATATATATATATATATATAATAAAGAAAGTTGGAGAGAGTGGGAAGCATAATAATGAGTCATGAGTCTGAGTTCAACAAGGGGCAGTGCTTTATAATAAGAAAAATAAAGGTGAGGTAGTGGATGTGTTTGGGAACTGCATGTGAAAGAGTATTCAGTCTGGGGCAGTCAATGGTCAAAACCCAGAATGTGTGTGCACGGTGTTGTGTGTAGGTAGTATCCATGCATGCTGGGTCTGTGTATGATCAGAGAGAGAGTGCCGTGGGTGTGTGTAGCTCCAAGCATTTTTGCTTTCTGCAGTTTATCGTCTTGTACATCAACAGCTATGATCTTAGAGGCACCAAATGCCCGTGCTATCTGCAAACAACTAGAACCAACACCCCCATTGCCAATCACAGCAACGGTATCCCCAGGACGAACCTCAGCTGCATGAGCCATAGCACCATATGCGGTAAAAACTGCACATCCCAAAATAGCAGATTCTGTATACGGCAATGTGTCAGGTAGAATGCACAAACCATGTGCTGGCACGACACAAAAATCAGCAAGGCCACCCATGCACACAACACACATAGACACACGGGTTAGGGGGGAGAAGACACACACCCTCATAACAAATACAGCAGCAATTGCTCGGACTCGGAACGCAATCTGGTATGCTACAACAATCTAAGGTTTCGATGCAGTAACAAACCCAGCAGAGTTCTGCAATTTTATTGCCAACCCGAGGTCAATAGTCACAACTAGAACAACCAGCAGCAGCAGCATCAATAGGTGTCATTGTCAGGTGTTATGAGGTTGGGATTAACAAAACTGCTACTGTTGAAACCAGTGCTAATCGTTTGCAGGAGGTATGTAATCATGCTCAGAGAAAGTGAGGTGCCGAGAGGGAGAGGGAGGGTTGAATTGGTTGAGATCCGGCGGGCGGTCAAGGCAAGGTCGCCGCCCGCCGGAAGGCGAAAAACACCAAGATCTTTAACCTTGCTCTGATATCATGTAGAAATTTAATGTATAAAGAGAAATGATTGTATTATTGATTGTTGTATATGATGGTGTGTTGAGCTCTCTCCTTTATAGAGGAGAGGGAGAACAATTACAAACCGAAAGTAGAAGCACAAACCAAACAACATTATTAAAGGTACATTATTAAAGCATACTAATTATTATACTAACCTAATTATTAAAGCAACATTTTACATATTATATTCTAACAGTTGAGTTGAATTTTTTAGGGTACACAATATAATTACATCTTTTTTTAAACCTTGGTTTTCTTTAATGTACTATGTTTAAATGCTTTCAACTTTGTTTTACAGTTTATGTTCTAATGCATTTGTCTTCCAAAAGGGTAATGCATTTTCAAGTTTCCTAAACTGTTAGTTTGGGAAACTGTCGTCAACTTTAGCTATAGATAGATCTGCAGGTCAAAAGTGTTTTATACTTTTTCCTTCTTAATGCTAGAAGTTGACTTCTGTGCAATATTCTTTCTTTTGTGTGTTAGGGTTATCATGGAGACACATCTAAGACTTTTCTTTGTGGAAATGTTAGTGACTCAATGAAACGGCTTGTCAAGGTATACTTTTGTAAGTACCTGTAGATTACTCTTTTGTTCATTCCATTCCATTTGTTTTTGTATTGGTTTTATTTTTGGAAAATTCTCACGCAAGCCATTAGAAGTTTAGAGCATGATTTTTCTATGCTATTTGGTTTAGTTAAATTATTCAACTATGGTTACAAATCATGTGACTAGTGCTGTTTCATGCATTGCTTCCATCACAACTTTTTATTTAATGTAGATTTCATGTTTATTTTTCCATTTTATGGCAGGTAACTGAAGAGTGCTTGCAGAAAGGGATTGCTGTTTGCAAAGATGGTGCTTTGTTTAGGAAAATTGGAAAAAGGATTAGGTATGTTTAATTTCTTAATATTGAGAAAATTTTGTTGAGGACAATTTTTGATGCTGTATCCATGAATGGCTAAACAAATATGATAGGGTTTAGAATTACGAAATGAAGCTAAAGGTCCCATGGAAATTAAGAAATATTTTTCTCTGAATGAAAATATACATGGAAGCGAGTCAAAATCCTAGTATTATGTTTTTTCATAATAAATATGCCACTAGTCATTATTATTGATTTTCTTGTTTTTTGAGTTCTACGGTGTTTTGTAAGTTCCATGTTTGTTTGAGATGGCTTGTACAGGGAGTCTGTTAATTTTATTTTAGTTTAGATTAAGTTATTCAGTCTTCATGTGTTCTCTTTCGTAGTTCTAGGCTGGTCTTACAAATCCAAGTCCAAATTTTTGTAATCAAAGTCCAAAGTTTACTATGTCTGTATCTTTGTGTAATCTAATGGGATTTTAAATATAAATTTATTTTTCTAAGGTGATTGTGACTTTTTTATAGGTAATATTGATTAATGATTTTATATGGGATGTATTCCCTTGTTCTTAACAATTTATCTTGGTTTATTGTTTCAGTGAACATGCTGAAAAATTTGGTTATGGTGTGGTCGATCGTTTTGTTGGGCATGGTGTTGGGACTGTATTTCATTCTGAACCAGTTATATATCATCACCGTGAGTAACCTCTACTGGCAAAAAACACGCTGAAATATTATTTTAAAAACTCTTTTAAAATTATTTTGAAAAAGTTGGTAATTTGTGAACACTCTTCTAATTAATCTCCCTGACAATTTCGCAGTTTATATTTGATATTAATGAACCAAAATTTACATTATGTCTCCAATATTTCTTGCAAGAAGTTCTTGTACATTAAACTACGACAAGATTCATTAATTATTAATACTATTAGCATAGTTCTTGATATACTTGTTGATTGAATTTGCTGAGACTAACTTTAATTGTGGGAGCTGTAACAAATTTCTGTGGTCCTTGCTATTGAGTCTTACAGTAGACTGAAAATGTTGAATAAAAATTAAAAGGATTAGAACTTATTCCTTGAAGTTTATATTCATGTCATCTCAATGACATATTTTCTATTGATCTTGTTGCATACCTGTAGGTTGCCTAACTGTAACAGTGTAAATACTGGAATTTTATTTTATTTGTTGGTAATTTGCTGGAGAGCTGCAAATTGGACATTAGAACGCAAACAAATGCATTCATTTCTACCTATCAATTAAAAAAAAAATGCATTTCTTTCTGTAGTAAGTTACTTCTGGCAAATAGCTAAGATTGAAAGTATCTGTTCCAAGTAACTAAATTGAAAAATACCGAAAAAATTGAGTTTTTTTCTTTCGGGATGAAAGTTAATTTGTAGATATGAAACAATGGTTATTTAACATTCTATTGTTCATTCAGTAATAAGGTATCTTTATGCTTGTCAAACATGTACTCTGGTTGAATTTGAGCTTCTTATGCTTCCTTAATAAAAATTCTTATTATGCGATTGTCAAACATCTAGACTGGTAGAATTTGTGCTTTTTATGTTTCTTTAATATATATATATATATATGTATTAAAATCAAAATCAGTGTTATCAGAAAATGCTAACATCCTAGTAATTTTCGTTTTGGAACATACATTCCGAAACATGGTACACTCTTGTTCCAAATCGTGAATTTAACAATCTAAAGCGATCCCATATTTTTTTCTATGTTTTTCAATAAAAGTTCTCCTTGATAGGGAAAAAGTCAAATATAATGAACTAAAATCTAGATGGAGTGGAGTTTTGGATTGACAAAATGTAAAACAATAGGTCATGATACTTATAGAACTGTGTTGTTGAATGATTAATTTGAAGAAAAATACCTACGATATATTGATGTCAAATTAAAAAGTCTACACATATCGTACCACATTTTAGAGCATATGGCATATCACGTTATCGTTACCATTCCTCCTCGTATCAAAACGATCTATGTTCCTAGGTAACATATATCAAAATACTTATGATGTGAATCTTTGTTTGTTAATCTGATTCTATGAATGTGAGAGATTTGTCTCTTTTAAATATTGCACCTGTGTACTCGGTTCTGGATGTTAGTCTAAAAAAGTTGCAATACCCTAATCATTTTTTCATGTTACAAAAATAATCCAATCTAGTTTTGAATGATTGTATTTAACTTGAACTTCCATATAATTGACAATATGAGCCACACTTCTAGGATGCTAAAGATTTTATACTTCGGCAAGCTGATAAATATAGATTTCTTCTGAATATAGTCCTTAATTCGTTTCTCAGGAAACGACAAGTCTGGTTGCATGGTTGAAGGTCAAACATTTACCATCGGTAAGTGCCTTAACATTTATTGAATATGTCTTCTGTTTTTGTTTTTCTTTTTTCTGCTAAGCCAAGAATGATGTAGCCTAGTTTATGCAAGCTTCACATGAAGATTGTCAATCTCTATTAGGAGTCATATCTGATTATATTGTTATATTTTCTTATTTTTATATGCTGCGTTTTAGGGACGAAATCTTGAAGCCAAAGGATATTACATTATATTAGGTAGGGGGCCGGGGGTAGTTTCCTATTGTAATTACTTGCTATTAGGGTTTTGTAAAGCCTATCAATTAGCCTCTTGGAAAAAAAATAAAAAATAAATAAAAAAAATGAGATTATTCCTTTGAGAATAAATAATATTTAGAAGAGCTTCTCTCTCTCTCTATCTCTCTACCCCTCCTTGCTTCTTTATTTTATATTCCTTTCCCATCTCTCTTAGTTTCTCCTCACTTTTATCTCCTCCTATTCTTTTCCTGTATTCTCTTTTGTCTCTCTTTCATAAATAAAATAAAAACAAAATAAAAGAAGAAAAGAATGAGTCAGCAAGATTTGTTTGTCCAAGGCTCCAAGCATATGTTCAATGAAAGTCTCATGAGTTCCTGGTTACATCAAAGAGGGTGACCTATGTCTACCTCTAGAAATGAATAAGACAGGAAGGTCCTGAAATTTTAGGCACAGCTGTATATTTATTTACCACACCCATGGCGACACCTTCTCTTCTCTTTTTGGAGAATTTTCATGTGGACTATAAGCATGGAAAATGCTCCGTTGTTTCTTTCTTCATTATTATTATTATTATTTTGATAAGTGAACTTGTACTACATTATCTAGAGAATTTGCTACTGCTTTTCATGTCACAAAATGGTTTGGTTGGTTGAACAGTATTGTGTCTGGAAATGTTGAACTTATTTTGCTGTTTGAGGCTTGTGTTAGTGTGCCATTGCTTGACAAACTATTCATGCATATTTATAGTTAGTGCTCAATTATGGTGCTTCCAAATATACAACAGCCTTGTCCTGATAGAAGACACTTCTTGCATGAGAGCAGCTCTTGATTGCCAAGACTGGGATTGATCACATCCTAACACTCAGAAAAATATTTTCCATTGATAATTCTAAGGACAATATGAGCCCTATGATGCAAATAACATGAATACATGCACACCTGAGAGGGTAACTGAGCAAGGATCTCTGATGCCTCTGATGGCTGACTGGGTGGTCTTCAACCTGATTCACTACCAGTCTTCTATCTAAACTACCAATCCCATTACACATTCAAACCAATTTTTTTCACACATAAATAGCCAATATCTATATCCTATCTCACCTATTATTAGTGAAACTGCCTGTCCAGTAGCATCCATACGAATTGCAGTGTTTTTTGATTTGGGATTTTCTAAGGGAATAGAGTATTGTGGGTAGAGTTGGTGAATCCGTTCTGTGATGGATCTTGCAATTTCTTGGCTAATTAGGCTGTATTTGGAAGGCTACTTTCTAATGGCAACGTGAACGAAGTAGTTATTTGTGTGGCTATCATGAGACCAATGTTCGATGTGGTTCAAATTTGCGAACAGATAGAGTGAAAATTGAGAAGTGGATATCCTTGCTTTCCTGAGAAATTGAGGCCCCAATTAGAGAAGCCGCAAGAAAGATGCTTGTCACCATTTTTTTAATGGACATTTTTTTTTCTGATAAAGAACATTTGTGAGAATGAAGCTAATTTTTTTCTTAAAAATATCAACTTTTTTTTTAACGGAAGGCAGTATTGTTTTTCATAATGGTAAAAGCTTGGGCCGCCTTTGCACCTGTATCACCTCCTGAATCTGATCCCTACCTAAACAGTATTTGAGCTAGTACATCTATACGAGGAACAGCCTCCTTGATGTCTCCTGATAGAGGATCGTCTTTGATTACACTAAAGTTTACATGCCATTGCTTGTGATGTTTTTAACAAATAAAGAATTATTAATTAAATTATATGGTCTTTTTGTCTTCTTCCTTTGTCTTTCCCTTGGTGCTTTTCCATTCTTTGTTGCCTTCTAATAAATTAATTCCTAAAAATATATTGATGTTGAAATCTGATACACAAATCCTATCCTTACATTTAATTCTGACGTTTACTGCAGAACCAATTCTTACATTGGGCAGCATAGAATGTGTAACATGGGAAGATAACTGGACTACTCTTACAGCTGATGGAAGCCCTGCTGCCCAGTTTGAGCATACGATTTTGATTACCAGAACTGGTGCTGAAATTTTGACGAAATATTGAAACAATTCATAAGATTTTTTTATTTTTGTAATTGTGTATATGACGGAGAATAGAGGAAGTCTCATTTTTCTTTATTTAGAAATGGAATTTTTATGTTGTTCTAAGGCCTTTTTTAATTTTTTTTTTTTTTTTTTTTTTTTTTTATAAATTCAATAGACGGTGTCATTGAAGAAGTGAAATTCCGAGATGGGAGTGAAAAAGTCATTAAAAACTGTAAACCATTTGCAAAAGAATTGTGTGATCCTTTGTAATAATATTGATTTCTTCAGTTTGTTTAGCTGTTATGTAAAATATTATCTAGACTTGCTTTCTTGTGATAAAAATGGCATTGATAGTCATTTGTTTATTTATTTCATGTTTTTTTTTTCTCATAAATATATAATTGAAAAATCTTTCCATGGTTTAAACATCTCTCTGTTTTATTTATTTATTTATTTTTGTGTGGATTTCTTACTTCATATTCTGAACACTTCCAATGTCATTCTCCATTCTTAATTTTTTGAGCCTTGAAATTCTCCACTCTTGTATTTATATTTTATATTATAATTTATAATATAATACGTGTCTATTTCATAGTTGATTCACAGCCTAATTCATAAAATTAATACAGTCAGTTCAGAGTCAATACTAGTTTGATTTCTATTAAACTTTTTGTCTGGTGATTGGTGAATTTAAAAAATTCATGTTCACCCAATAACTAACACTTTTGGCTTTGGTAGTTTGAATATATTACATTACGACCAATATAATATTCTATCAAAAATTTTATCAAATGTCTCACATGGGTGTGAGATTCACACAATGGGTCCCATGTGGGTCCCACACCCATGTGAGACATTTGGTAAAACTTTTGGTAGAATTTTTGGGGCCTCTAGCATTTTTTTTTATCAATTTGTCTATGATATTGCAATTATTTTGCAATCAATACTTACAAAACAGTGTGGGTTAACTAAAAGATATTCCATAATTTGGAATATTTACCGAATGTAACACCATCACGTAAAGTCAAGGTGGTCGTGTGATTTATGTTTGATTTTGAATTTTTAAATATAATTTTTGGGTTTTTTTTATTTGTGTGTATTTTGTTGTCTTTATTAAACTTTTCATATTTTAATCAAGTTTTTTTTAAAGGTAAAATATTTGTAGAGAAATAATAATAATAAAAAAATCAATGAATACAAAAATTTTAAAACTATAATGAATTTTTTTATTTTTATGTATTTAGAAAAATTTTTAAATAAATATTTATTTTTTAAGTGCATTTTATGTTAGGTGCATTTAAAAAACTAAAAAAAAAATTAAAACGTTTTGTTTTTGTTTTTGATTGAAAGTAATATATTCTTCGTTTACTATTTGAGTTAATTTAGTAAAATAATTATAATAGGCTATAGCTTTTTGTAATTTAAGAAAATAAAATTAAGTTAAAATCAAATATTCATATGAATAATTTTATTCAATGAAAATTAGTTTCATTAAATTTAATTTGTGAAGAAAAATTTTAACTTTCTTTCATATACTTGATATTTTTAGTTAATATACTAACACGTTAAAACAATACAAAACGTTTTGTTTTTGTTTTTGTTTTTGATTGAAAGTAATATATTCTTCGTTTACTATTTGAGTTAATTTAGTAAAATAATTATAATAGGCTATAGCTTTTTGTAATTTAAGAAAATAAAATTAAGTTAAAATCAAATATTCATATGAATAATTTTATTCAATGGAAATTAGTTTCATTAAATTTAATTTGTGAAGAAAAATTTTAACTTTCTTTCATATACTTGATATTTTTAGTTAATATACTAACACGTTAACACAATACGAATCGATCATGGACTAAAAATAACATAATACAATAATATAAAAAAAAATAAACAAATTAAATTAATTTTAAATAATTTTGATACGAATCTAAAATGACACGATATAATAAAACTCAACAAAACATAATCCTTAGCAAGGAATCCGTATAATCCACAAAACCGAACCAATCCAGTCCAATTTGGTAGGTTTGGTTTCGTTTTTTAAATTCGTGGTTCGATTCTGGATTGAAAAATTAAGAAACTATAGTTCATGGATTGGTTTCGATTTTCAATTCACAGTTCCTGATTAGAACCGATTTGAACCGTTTGTATTCGATATCTTTTTTACTTAAAATAATTATTTTAAGATATAAGTTTTATGATTTCCGCATCTCCTATGAAATCCTATTTCTTTAATTTTTAATTGGTAAAGTAGAGTGAAAATATTTGCTCATTTTGCTATATTTAGCCAATTTTCTATTTGTTTGCTCCATGCATCACATTCTATTCTAGTTTTTTAGTAGGGAAGTTTGTAATTTAGAGTAGTTTTAACAAATTTTCTGTGTGTATGTTGAGATTATGTGAAATTGTAATTTCAAATCAATCTAAACCGTGTTTAAATGATTTAATTCAAATTAATTCCATGATGTAAATAGATTAATTTTATTCTAATTTTTATAAAATCATAAACAACAAATTAATCCTAATTTTATCGCATCCAAACTAATCCAAACAATATTCATCCCTAGCAAGACATGACTTCCACCCTGGTCGGCAGGCTTGGTACAGCGCTCTCTCTTTGAAAGATTCCATTCCCCTAACTTGAACGCTCTCATGATTCTTCACCTTCCAAAGTATATTCCCATCCCACCTATGAGTTCTAGAAATGTTTAAAGAAACAGTCTACGGTGAGATAGAGACCATGGTTCTTGTCACAAACTCACTTTTTAATTGGTCAATTTGTACTTTAAAAAGAAAAAGAAAAAAAAGAAAAGAAAAGTAAATTACATTACCATCCACTGAAGTTTAAAATAAATAAATAAATAAATAATTTAGGGTTTAAGGTTTAAATAAATTAGGATTTAAATAAGTAATTTTATAGTTTTAATATAATTATACTGATTTTTCATTTAGTAAATTTAAAAAGACTTAAATTAATACAAATAGTATAAAAATATAATGGATTATTTATGAAAATATAACTAACTATTATGTGAATTAAAATTTTAAGAAAGTTTAATATAATTATTTTAAAATTGTAGAACTTATTGTAATTTTTTTTTAAAATTTCAAGAAAAATTAGTGTAATTTACCCAAACAAAAAATAAAACAAAACAAAAGTATGGACAATGAATCCCTTATGATCTTATGGATAAACCCAAATAAGGTCTAATCAAGTTAGGTTAAGAAAGACAACCTGCCTATTTAATATGCAATTGAAATTGATGTGAAATTTCTTTGCAATTATGGGGGTTTAAGAGCAATTGTTTAGGCTGATTATGGGGGTGTTTGTTTCAGCTTTTCAGAGTGAATTTATGACTTTTAATTTTGAAAAAGTTATTTTGGACTGTTTGGTTAAACTTATTTCAAACAGCTTCTGATTCTAACAGTTTATTTTAACTCAAAAAAACTGATTCTGAGAAGCTACTCACCCCTTGTTTTTTATTATCAACTTCTGCTGTAGACATGTTAATTTATGGTTATACTATTAAATTTTTTTATTTTTTATTTTTTTAAAAATAAAAAAAGACTCAAATGGACTATAGATTATTATTATTATTTTTTATGAGAAATGTAGACAAACAAAAAATTAAAATTAATTGAAAAAGCTATTTCAGAGCTTATTTAACAAACACTACTCAGCAACTTAAATTTATAATCCAACAGATATACCAAACATATTAATAACTTTTAATTAAAATCATAATCTATAATCTGTTAAGGTATAATTTATAATCTGTTTTAATAATTACACCAAACGGGGCTATAGCTATGACTAAGTGAGTTGTGGTGATAACAAAAAGCTTTAGCAAAAATCTAGGTGGTAGACAAAAATGGATTTTTGGACTTTTCTACCTAATAATTAAAGTAATATTACATTTAAAAAAAAAAAAAAAAAAAAAGAGTAGTGTTATTTTATTAAGATAATGAATCACTGTCTTTTTTTCTTCTTTTTTTTTTTTTTTTTTTTTTGGGGGGGGACGTTGGGGGTTGGGGAGTTTATAAACCCTTAAAAATTACTCCTTAAATTATCTTTAATGATGTAAATATTATATGTTAGATGCTAATTTTGTTTAGAAATTCAACCAAGCCCATTCTTTGTCACGTCAGTGTAGGTATATATTTAGAAGCGATAATTTCCCTAAGTCCTACTTTTTGAAACGGTCCATGGTGGAAAGTAGCCATTTAGTCTAAAAGTTTTCTTATGCTCCATTGTCCATTTTTTACATCAACTGATGTGAATTGATGTAACAGATTTGATGTTTCATTCTATAATTTCAAAATTTATTTGAAATCTGATGAACATTTAGATGTTTTTCATCCATATTTTCCAAAACAATTATTGAAAATTTGATGAACATTAGATTGTTGAAATCCAATGTTTGTAACATGACTCTTGATGTTATCTAACATTGGTATCTGATGTTATTAACCATTGGTAATGGACCTTTCCGTCTATAAGGAAAAACTTTTTCAGGACATAGAACAGTGACATAAGTTACTTAATTTGGGATTTATTGGTGCATCCTAATTTAAATGTGATATTTTAAGAATCTATATAACATTACTATTAAAAAATTGATTTTAATTAATTAATAGAAAAGTACTATATAAACTAACATTTTTCTTAAAAATTGTTCATATAAAATAGGAAAATAGGGTAAATTATACGTACACTCTCTGAGATTCTGATAAAATATGAATTATCCTATGTGGTTTGGAAAATTACAAATACCTGTCTGTCCAAACTTTTTATTTAACAGAATTAATTGAAAAAATAAATTTTTTAACTATTCTCCTATAAAATAATAAAATTATCTGACTTATTAATTGAAATAAAATTTTACATCATTAAAAATTATTAATTACTTGGATGATTTTTAATAAAATGGCCTATTTTTATGAAATTAGAAATCTTATGAACATAATAATAATATTTTAGAATCACAAAAATAATTTTATAATTTAAATAAATCTAAGAGATGTGTTTATAATTTTTCCTATAAAATACAAGTGAACTGGACCATTGAACTAACATGAGAAGTG